CTTTACAAACATAGTTAAGTAAATATTGAGGAACGAGGCTTTAAAAGAGGCTAACTACTATGTGCACAATGGAGGTAAATCACATGGTCACTAATTCATTTATACATCAACATCATCATCTCATACATACTGAACATATACAAAATTTATATTGCATACAAGGATGCTTGAAAAGAAATAAAAATATCTCATTCAATCAACTCAATTTATAAACATGCTTGAAAAAAACAAACTACTCTTCAGTAATATACAATTTTCATAAAATATACATTGTTAATCTACATTCACAAGCATGCTTGAAAAGAAATGCTAACAATTATATATAGCTAAGCTATAAGTATGCATGACAGGATTCAAGTAACATATAAATTTTCCACAATTAAATTTATGATTATTCACATTCATTATCAAACACAAAGCTTGTAGGAATATGAAAAAATTCCGAGTTACTTGTTTTTCTTTAGCTTACAAATAGTCATGCATCAGCCCAAACAATAAAGAGCTCTCAAAAAGAGTCTATAGAAGTCACACACATACAAAAAGTATTAAAATTTAAAACTATCGAAAAAGTACCTTAAAGCTACTCTAAGATTATCCTAAAGTTATTTTAGGGCCTTAAAGCCACATTTGGAGAACCCAAAATCTTCTTCAAATCCATACCGTTTTATATCAGCTAGTTTGTCCATATTTATATTTCTAATGAATTTTGTACAACTTAAAAATATTCATATAAAGCCTATGTTCATCCCAAATCTTTACTTTTTCCCTCAATTCTTACTCTAAGAATTCTGCAACCTGGTAAACAATTCATATATATAGATTAAACTTCCTAAAATATTGAAATAGATCTAGACATATTATTAGAGAAATTTTCTATCAGGAAAAAGACATTAAAAAAAAAAAAACTCTAATAGATTGGACCCTATATTTTTCACCTTCAAGAAATTAAAAACCAGGAAGATAAGTAGACAAAACCAAAAATTTAAAACACTTACCTGATAGTAGAAAATTCAAATCGAGATATCTGAATATATTTCTAAATCTAAACTCTCTTTGACTCGCGTTAGCTCCCCTCTTTTTCTCTCACTCGCTGCTGCCGCAGCTGGAATGAAGCATGAACGTGTGTGGGTTTAGGTAAATAAATGGGTGGAGTGGGCTTTGGGCCCACACGCATGCCTTTTTCTCTTTCTCCTTCTTGTATATATAAATATATTATAATATATCAATGGGCGCTTGGTAGAATTGGCAAGAACTACTACCAACATTTCTGAGATGAGGGTTCAAACCCTGAAAATATATTATAATATTATTTTTATAATTATAAATTATAAATATATTTATATACACCTATCCACTCCTGCACATATACACGTATATTAATTTTATTATCTTTTTATTGTTATTATTTTGCTCAAAATTAAATATTTATTATTTATCTTATTTTGGGTAAAAAATTTTAAACTTATTTTATCTATTTTTAAATTTTTTTATTCTCAATAAATACTTTCACATGTCTGGAAATTCCATTCCTATATCTCAAAATTTCCTTAAATACCTCAAAATTTCTTATAATTAAGTTATTAATTGGAGATTAAAATCTAGGATGTTATATGAAACATATCACATTGAGCCTTGCTAAGAGAGATAGAGAAATGCCAAAGAGAATACTTATAGAAGTTGTTAATCAAAACCTCTTAATTAACAATATTTCTAAATGCTTGATAAATAATAGAGTATAATGACATCGTATAATCCATATAGCTAAGTCTAGTTAGTAGGATAAAGCTGCTTCTTATTGTTGTAGTAAAAATGAATGGAGGTTACTAGGTTTTATCCAAGGATAGGGTCCTTTGTCGCCTCCTTTGACACGCACTCCATTGAAGCATTGAAAAAAGACGTGTATAGATTTGAGCCGAGTAAGAATTTGAAATAAGGGCAACTAGGCACTAACATGAAAATCTGAAATAACTTCCAGCTATCAGTTTAGGTAATATGTTGACTGGGAACCTTATAACTTCTTCATTTAAACAGATATTTCATAATGTTGTACTTATTTAGATAGATATAATATATATATATATATATATATTATAATTCTATAGATTTGGATATGATTTAAATTCATATTTTAATATAATTTTTGTCATTTCAAATTGATCTTTTTACAGTCTTAGTTATTTGAAATTTCATAATTTTCAATCTTCTCCTTTTCCTTTTTTCTTTTTCGCATATTTTCTCTATTGGTTATCTGCTACTCTCGGAGTCCTACTCTGATCTCTTTTTTGGACTCTCACCGACTGAAGAATACAGCTAAATTTATCACTTTCAATCTTTCATTTTTAATTTGAATCTCAGCTAATATCTATTCAACCTCTAATTTTTTTTTTACATTATCCAAATAAAGATTTTTGAATATATAAATTTTAAATATGAGACTTTAAATCTAAGATTTTAAATTCAAATCTATCAAGTCAAACAATACCTTTTTATTCTATGTTTGTACGGTAATGGTAGATTATTTAGGATGAAATACTCCATCATATCCTTATCATTGGACGTTTTCCAGAAAGATTCTTTAATATTTAATATAAGACACTTGATGGGTTATTAATTGCATTTTTCTAATTTGCCCTTATTCAAACTCATTAACTATCAAAGAGGATGTAATTAAGAAAAAAATTATTTAAATAGGTGTAAAATTGGAAATTTATTATATTTTTAGGAAAATTTAATAACTTAACCATATGTCTTTAATTCTAATGAGGTACTCTCTCCGTCCCAAATTATAAAATATTTTTACATAAAATCTCACATACTAATAAATCTTGTTAAATACACTAAACAACTTTATTTTTTAAAAACAAAAAAATAAAGCTTCCAAAAACATCTTTTTCTAATACATTATTGGAAAAAGAGAAGGATAGAAATTAAATAGAGGGAGAAAGGACACTATTAAAATAAGCTTATTTAAGGAAACTTTACCATTCTCAAAATATCTTATATTTTAGAACGTTAAATCTTCTTAAAAAGTGTTCTATAATTTTCCAATAAAGAGAGTAATTAGAAGTGCAAATATTGTTTAAACGAAGACTTCATGAATTCAGGATCTGAGTGAATCTACTTAAATTGACTTAAGTAGGCTTCCCATTTAACACAAAACTAAAACATATTTGCATATTATCCAAATTTACGTGCCAGATGTCCTTACTTCAGTCTCTTACTTAGCACGAATCAGCACACACACGTCTTTCTTCAAAGCTTCAATAGTGTGCGTGTCGAATTAGGAGAAAACGACCCTACAGTGCGAAAGCCTTGTAATTTGCACCCATTTTCATAACATGCAGCAATATTTATTTGTTTGTTTGGTTGGTTCTTGCTTTACATTTCTATATATTTGATCTTATAGAGCAGGTCCAAGTAGAAAAATTGAAGTCTATGATCACAATGATCTTCAAGGCCTTCATTCTCTCTTGCTTCCTTGTTTGTGTGGTTCTCATTTCTAATTTGGTAGCTGCACGGCATGAGCCATCAACTAATGGTGAGCTACAAGGTTTGAATAATCCTAAACCAACATTAATAAGTTTAATTTTTATTTCTACCATTATTTTGATTTGATTATAATAGTTTTAATTACTAGCTACAATACATTTGACGAATTAAATTGCTGCATGCTTTATGACACAATTTTTGAGAACTATGTGCAATATTAATTATTTCTTTTCCACTGTCAATGCATATTTTTTAAAGATCAGAAAAAAAAACAATTACAACTGAGACAATACATTTCTGTGAGTTTCTGTGAAGTTTTTCATTATTATTATTTTTTATCATTTTATTATTTTTTATAAAATATGAAGTATTCCCTTTCTTTCTTAAAATGACAAACATCAACTTCATAGGATTTAAATGCTAAATTCTTTAAACTGCCAAATTTGTGTACAAAGCTCCCATGCAGCTAATTAGTTGATTATTTTACTAATGAAATGCGATATGTGAATTAGAATTTGCAGATGATTCAAAAACGTTAAACACTGCACCCAGGTAAATTTTTGATGCGATTTAATTATTTAATGTTTTAGAAATTAAAAAATTATTTATATATAACTAAATATTTAGAAAGTTCCATATCTAGGAAGATTGTGAGTATTATGCATTGCAAAGGATCTGATATAAAGTGGTACTCTTTATGGCTTATTAAATAGTGATTTTTCTTGGTATAAATTATAGATATATAAATATATATTGATATTGAAATATGCACTTGTGTGATGTATATGTCTCTGTAGATAAATATACATAGGATATATCTATATATATATATATATCCTTGTGTATGCATAATTTTTAGGCTAACATAAATTACTATCTTATGGACGTAGAAAACACTTGAATTTTTCTTTTCTATGTAGAATTTTAAGTTGGGAAATCACAAGTTTCACATAGGTTGGACTTGCAAATATGATCGTCCAAACCAATAATGCTTTATAATTGGGCAAAAAAAAAAAACCTATAACGCTAATACTTTCATTTTCTTGACGAGAACCGAAATCAGAATTAAAATAAATCTACCATAAAACTTGAACGTACATAAATTGATGGGGAATAATTCCCTGAAGCAAAGCACGGACACACAAGTTAGGATTCTTTTTCTTTTTATTTCTCACAAGTATTATCTCCTATTAAAAGGCAATTATGTTTGAGACACGGTCAACACTTCTCCCGACGAGAATTCCATCCTTTGTTTTTCATGTTGTGAGAGACTAGTTACTTTTATTAAATTTAATCCCATTAATTAGGATTATTTTTCTTTAGATCATTCCTTTGGTCAATGTTTAATTATGCTTTGTTTTTCGTTACAGAAGCTCTTACGGAAGATTCAAAAGCTATAATTGCTGAACAGACGAATTCAACTAATATTGGCAATGGTGGTAGCATAAAAGAAGGAAGCGGCAGCGGCGGCAGTACTTATTTAATAGGTGGAGGTAGTGGTGGAGACAGTTATGGTGGCGGCAGTGGTAGTGCTAGTGGAGGAAAGGGAGGGAGTGGAGGTGGTGGCTATGGTGGCGGTGGAAAAAGGAGGAAGTGGCGGTAGTGGTGGTGGCAGCCATGGAGGAAGTGGAAGTGGTGGTAAGGGAGGTAATGGAGGAGGCAGCTCCGGTGGAGGTAAGAAAGGAGGGGGGAAAGGTGGTGGTGGGGGTGGCTATGGAGGTGGTAGCAAAGGAGGCAGTGGGGGTAGCGGTGGTGGCAGTGGCGGCAAAGGAGGAAGTGGAGGTGGTGGCAGCCATGGGGGTGGAGGAAAAGGAGGAAGTGGTGGCAGCGGTGGAGGAGGTAAAGGAGGAAGCGGAGGCAGAGGTAGTAGCCGTGGAGGTGGCTATGGGGTGATAGCAAAGGTGGCAGTGGTGGTCAAGGAGGAAGTTCAGGAGGTAGCCATGGCAGTGGAGGAAAAGGAGGAAGTGGTGGCGGCAGCGGTAACTATGGAGGTGGTGCCGGTGGTAGAGGTGGTCATGGAGGAAATGGTGGTAAAGGAGGGAGTGGAGGAGGTAGTTATGGTGGTGGTGGAAAAGGAGGAAGTGGTGGCAATGGTGGAGGTGGCGGCCATGGTGGCGGTGGCAGCAAAAGTGGAGGTGGGGGGGGCAGCGGCAGTGGGTATTAAGAACTATAATTAAAATTTTAAGATTGTGAAGTGAAAGTCAAATTAAATATATTATCATCAGTAATGTAATATGACGACAGGCAAGAGGGTTAACCAAAAATACCCGTGTTATTATATACATGGCCTCTGTCGTATATCCATGGATCTCTCTTTTATATGTATGATCACTAACTTCAATAAGGAGAGATTCATTTTAATAATTTAACTATAATAACTTCTAGCAATATTCCACACCAGTGGTTTTTGTTTTCGTTTCTCCACATAGATAAATACATATAATAGTAAATAATTAAATATGAACTTAATTATATCATCACATAGATTAAAATACATTAATTGACCAATATATATTGGTACCTATTCTTTGATTCATTTTAAGGATGAGAATGCACGGGTTTGTTATGGAGATGAATAGAGAAGATGAGGAAGAAATCAAAATCGCACTTGTAAAAAGCATGCAGGAGACTTTTTAAGGAAAAATCACAATTAAGTCTTACAAAAACATTTTAATTACTCAAAAATTCCATGAAATGAAAAAAATTAATTTAAAGTCTCATGAGATTTTATTGAGGTAATAACAAGTTTTGTTGTCTAATTATTAGATTGCCCTCTTAATCTTCTTCCAGTAGTATTCGAGACTCTTTCTTTCTCTATCTCTATTTCTATCTCTATCTCCCTCTGGCTAAACACATTTAGTCCTTCGGCCATTAAATGTAGAATCTTACATGCTACCTTTCTCAGGATTCATCACACAATCTCACGAAAAAGAAGCCATTTTTGTTGAAGGAATTAATTAAGGTTTTTATCTTTCAATGATCTATTTTTTTCCCCTCATTTTTAAAATAAAACATGGAATTAAAACGAATCTTATGATTCCCACGACAATTAACATAAAATCCCACACATAAAGTTAAATGTGAATAGTAGAGCTAGTAATTTGGGTCAACTCGAACCTGCCTGAAAAAAATTAGAGTCGAGCATGGCTATATGAATTTTTTTAAGAGTGTAGGATATTTTTAACTCAATTCGAATAAGCTTGGCCAGAATTGAATTCGACCCAAATAAATCCTATCATCAAAATTTTTGGCTTTATATATATGTAGAGTCAGTAATTTTGGCCAAGCTTAATGGGTCAACTCAAACCCGACCAAAAAAATTAAGGCCGAACTTGACTATATAAACTTTTTAAAGAAGGTAGGATACTTTAAACTCGATTTAAATAAGCACGAACCATCTGATTTACTGACTCTACTGAATAGTGTCCTCATTCCCATTGTATTCTATCTTTCGTAAAATTATACCATTGTAATTAATTCACATAAATAGAAAGTCACATATCTTACATTAGCTAGGCTGCCTTGCACGCACAATCAATCTACTCCATTGGAATATACAGGAATTATTCTTCATGGAATAGTACAGAGATAAGCACTAAGCAGTATTGTCAACGAACTGGGAAGGATCATCACCTTCAGTAAATCTTTTCCAGAACCAGTGGTTTTGAAATAGCAGATAAATCTCCTCGATCGGAACTTTCATTGTTTCGGGCAAGAGGAAGAATACGAACATGCTCATGATCACAATGAATCCTTCAAACAGCAAGAATATTCCATATCTGAGATAGCACAGTGACACTAGAAAGAATTGTGCCACCAATGCCGTGAAGATCATGTTCACACACACCACCACACTCTGTGCCGACGACCTTATCTCTAATGGGAAAAGCTCGCTCGGAACTAGCCACCCTAGTGGACCCCACGATCTTCCATAAGCCAACACAAACAAGAATATTACTATCACTAGAAATATACTTGTCCCTCTTTACAGGTCTTTCCCTTCACCAAACTCTAATGCTAAAACTACCGCTACTGCCACCTGCATATACATATATGTATACGAATGTATCGTTAACTTAATTTGTGATTGATGTCTATGGCTGTGTTTGGATTTCAGTTGGATATTATTGATTATGGAAAAAATTGATTACTATAATTGATTTAGAATATAATTGATTATGTTGTTTGGTATATAATTGATCTATAAAATTGATTTGTAAGATTGAATTTAATTAGAATTGAAAATATGGTAAAACTATAGTTTTGTAAAAATATATCCAAACACCCAAATTACATGTTAAAATCAATTATGAATCCTAAACCATGTTTTAAAAAAAAAAATCTGAACACCCATTATACATATCAAAATCAATTATGAACTCAAAAGCATAGTTTCTTAAAAAATTTCAAACATCTCCATACATGCCAAAATAAATTATGAACCTAGAACTATGGTTATCTCATAAGCTATTATTATATACTTTTCAATTCAATTTTTTAATTATACATTTTTCAAAAATTTACCCAAAAATCATATGTTTTCTTCATAATTGATTTTGATATAATAAGAAGTATTTGTATATTTTTTAAAAAAATCATGGTTTTGGATTCATAATTTTAGCATGTAAAATGGATGTTTGAATATTTTTAAAAAACATGATTTTGAATTCATAATTAATTTTAAAGTATAGCATGGGTGTTTCGATATATTTTTATAAAATCATGGTTTTGATTTCTAAAATTGATTCTAGATATTATCCAAACAGTAACGAAATGGTACTTTTTTATCAAAATTAGGGCTATTTAATAACACAGATATGAGTTGCGGGATTACCAAGTAGATTAACATTTCAGCACCAGCTTCCAAGAACAGGGCTCTTCTGCCAAACTTATCGACGACAGCCATTGAGATGAGAGGAGCCACAAGGAGGGCAACACTAGTAATAACAGATGAGTACAATGAAGCTCCATTCCCAAACCTTAAACTCTGAAAGATGACAGGAGCATAGAAGAGGATCAAATTATTCCCTGTTAGCTGTTGAAAAGCTGGGATAGCTATCCCTCCAATCACAAGCTGAGGTCTATTCCTTCTCAGCAACAAGTTTTGGAATGGATTCTTTATGTATTGAGCTTCTCGACTTGCCTCTACCATATCTTCAAATTCTGCGTCCACATTTGTGGTTCCTCTTATCTTCTCTAATATGATTCTTGCTACTTCTATCCTACCTTGTTCCACAAGTGATAGGGGACGCGGAAGCAGAATCATGCTAGTTTAGGGACAGAACACTGACACAATAAAAATACAAGAACAAAAAAAAAGAGACAAAATTTATGATGAAAATAAAGAAAGATATGAAATAAACAATGGGGTAATGATCAAGGAAAAGATCCTCTAGAGCAGCTACCTCTAGGAACCTCAACTTTTGAAGACACCACAAGAGTTGATCATGCTCTTGATCACATTTGTTTCTCACACGGGATGCCACCACAAAGCACTAAGGCTCACAAGAGTTATAAACTCTAAAATGAATATTTTCATTCAACTTCTATTCTGTTTACAAGAGGGAACATGCCTAATTTATATAGGCTCATAGAAAAGAATATTTCCTAGAATTAAAACCCTAATTTCCTAATACTAAAAAGAGAAATAATATAAAATAGTGATGAAATATTCAGCCACATAATTTAGGAGATGTGATCCTAAAATTATGGGATTACAAAATTTAGAAATTAATACTATAATTAATTCTAACTTTTGACTAGACTCAAAATAGGAAATCAAATCAAAGGACCATTAAAATAGGAAATAATTTAGGAGACAATCAAGGGATCATAAAGGATTTAAAATCATGCCACCCTTAACTTCTTCACTAGGGTTTCATGCCTCCTTGCTTACAAGAGGCTTAACTTGTAGTCTTCCTTGCATTGGGCTAAGGTTTGCATCTCTTGAGCTTGACTCTTCATGAGTTTAGATCTTAAGTATATTATACATGTATAGATGCTCTCCTTTGGGCTTGAGAGGAGTACCCTAATGCTCTTCAAGCTCTTGAACTTTTTGTACAAGACTGAATAAGGCTTGTTTCATGGCTTTAGTTCGGGCTCTTGTCATTGGACCTCCAATATGTTGTAATGGGTCTTTATATACGTTGGATTGAAAGTATTGGGCTCCTTCCATATCACCATGCTCATGATTATCATCCTCAAGCTTCATTGCCATTAATGCTATGTCATCCGTGCTATGGGATCCATCATTCCCTCCCAATTAGAAAGGATTCATCCTCGAATCTGCATAATCATATAAAGATAGATCAGAAACATTAAATGTGGCACTAACATTGCCATAAGAGCTAGGCAAATCAATCTTGTAAGCATTATCATTAATTCTTTCTAAAACTTGAAAAGGTCCATCTCCTTGAGCTTGAAGTTTAGACTTCCTTTGATTAGGAAATCTCTCTTTCCTTAAATGTAACCAAACCTAATCTCCAGGCTTAAAGATCACACATCTCCTGCCTTTATTAGCTTGGTTAGCATATTTCTCATTCTTTCGCTCTATGTTTGTTTTAACCTTAGCATGTAAGTCTTGCACAAACTTAGCTTTTTTCGTGCCACTAGTGTTAGCATGTTCAGAGAAAGGCAAAGGTAAAATATCAATAGGAGATAATGGATTGAAACCATAAACAGTTTCAAATGGAGAATAAAAAGTAAAAGAATGAATAGCCTTATTGTAAGCAAATTCAATATGAGGTAAACAATTCACCCAATTCTTCAAATTCTTCTGAATTATTGCTCTTAATAATGTAGTCATAGTTTTATTAACTACCTCAGTTTGACCATCAGTTTATGCATGGGAAGTAGTGAAAAAAAGTAACTTAGTCCCTAATTTATACCATAAGGTACGCCAGAAGTGACTAAGAAACTTCACATCCTTGTCACTCACAATAGTCTTAGGTAAACCATACAAATGAGCAATCTCTTTAAAGAATAAGTCAGCAATATTAACAGCATCATTAGTCTTAGCACAAGCAATAAAGTGTGCCATCTTAGAGAATTTGTCAACAACAACAAATATGGAATCTTTACCTACAAAAGATTTAGGCAATCTAATTACAAAATCCATAGAGATATATTCCCAAGGGTGAGAGGGGACGGGTAAAGGAGAGTAAAGTCTATGAGATTG